ACTCCAGAAGCAAAGGCAACAAAAGCAAAAACAAGTGGGACTATATAAAACTAAGAAATTTCTGCACAGCAAAGGAAATGATCAGCAAAATATAAAGGCAACCTACTGAATGTTTGCAAGTCCTATATCCAGGTAAGGGGTTAATATCCAAAATACATAAAAACTCATACAGCTCAATAGCAAAAATACAAACAATCCAATTAAAACATGGGTAGAGGACCTGAATACACATCTTTTCAAAGAAGACATACAGATCACCAACAGGCATGTGAAAGAATGTTCGACCTCACTAGTCAGTAGGGAAATGCAAATCAAAACCACCATGAGATACCATCTCGCAGCTGTTAGAACGAGTGCTACCAAAAAGACAGGAAATAAGTGTTGGTGAGGATGTGGAAAAAGGGGAACCCTGTGCACTGTTGGTGGAAGTATAAATTGGTACAGCCACTATGGAAAAGTGTGGAGATTCCTCAAAAAATTAAAAATAGAACTACCATATGATCCAACAATTTTTACTTCTGGGTATTTATCTGAAGAAAATGAAAACATTAATTTGAAAAGACACCTGCACCCTTATGTTCATTGCAGCATGATTTACAATAGCCAAGATATGGAAACAACCTAAGTGTCCACTGATGGATGAATGGATAAACACACACACAATGGAATACTACTCAGCCATAAAAAAGAATGGAATCTTCCATTTCTAATAACATGGATGGACCTTGAGGGTATCATTATACTAAGTGAAATTAGGTAGAGAAAATAAATACCGTATGATTTTACTTACATGTAGAATCTAAAAAAAGCAAAACAACACAAAACAAAACAAAAAACCGAGCTTGTAGATACACAGAACACATTGGTGGTTGCCAGAGAAGAGGCAGGTGGGGAGTGGTCAAAATGGGTAAAGAGGGTCAAAAGGTACAAACTTGCAATTATAAAATAAGTAAGTCATGGGATTATAATATACATCATGGTGACTATTGTTTATTAATAATACTATATTGCTTACTAAAAGTTGCTAAGAGTAAATCTTAAGTTTTCATCACCAGAAAAAAAAAATGTTTTTGTAACTATGATGCATGTTAACTAGACTTGTGATCATTTCGCAGTGTTTACAAAAAACAAATCATTACCTTGTATACCTGAAACTAATACGTTATATGTCAATTATACCTCAATTTAAAAAAAGTATGAATGCTAAAGACAGAAAATAAGATTACCTTATTACTTCTTTCTCATTTTGGTTAATTTGTTTTCTTGTTAACTAAAATAGTGTGCAAGTGATATGTACTTTTAGACTATCTGAAACATTATTCTAAAAGTTTAAGTGTAATTGTTCATAGCCTAAGATTAGAAGTAAACTTTTTCATGGACTTAAATAATAGCATTTTTACTCTATTAATTTTAATTATGATTGAGCATTAACATTTATGTTCAAACTCAATAATTTATAGAAAACTCTTGATTTTATAATTAGTCCTTATCTGGAAACTTTCCAAGGGGAATAAAATGTCAAAGAAGGAATTTCATTGTGTAAAAATCTCTTCAAACACCTAGAAAGAGAGCACGGGAAATATATACACTTTACTCACAGTTATTCTCTTTCATAATGAGTATGGTATACAGCTGTACAATAAATATTATAATTTTTGATACCTTTATATATTACCTAGTTTAATTTTGGTTTGATTTTGCTATAGTCAAATAGAAAAGTTATAAACCAGATCACAAAAACTGACTCACAAAATTAAAACTGATTACTTAATCCATAATGTGTGGCTAAATTGAATTTAGGAAGTCTGGTCTTTTAAATTTCAGAGGAGTTTGAAGATTTTTGGAGTTCCCTTAACCATTTGCCATTTTTAGTAACATTTTATGTTGTGGATCTCAAGTCTTCCAATATGTGTTAGCATAAAAAAGGCACAAAATAATTAATTTTATAAGAATTTTGTAGTGATGGAGAAACTGGATTTTGTCACTTTCTGTCCTGCATGTGCTTGTTTTCATTTATTTGGTATACATCTACTTCACATTTTCCTAAAATTTCCTACACTAATGTTGCCTCTTTGGAAAGTGCTACATGTAAACCATGTTCTTGCAATTGTATTTTTGGAAAAACATGTGGGTGGTGTTGGAGTCACTTGAGTAGAATTTTAATTAGATCTACTGCATTCACTTTTATTAAAGGAATGAATACTAATTCCTTTTTAGCATGCTGACCATGCTTTATTCTGACAGAGGGCCCCCTTTTAATTTGTTCTTCAAGTCCCATCATTTGTCTTTCAGAAACAGTCATGTCACTTTTCTAACTTCAAAATGTTTGATAATTCCTCTTCTTTATATTCAAACAATAAAATATCCTTATTATGGCATTCAAGGCCATTTCTGAGCTGTCACTAAGATCCTTTGCAGCCTAATCCATCACCCCATTTTTTCCCCCTCTGCACCCCAAACAGCTGCCCATGCACACTGTCCTGCCACACTGGATTATTCATTGTTTCTCATGCAATTAATTTTATATCTGGTATGCTTCCTTGAAGTTCCTGTAGCTACATGGAATATCCTCCCCATTTCTGCCACCCTTTCCTTCCACAGCTTCTGGCCGGTAAAATCTAAGCACTCTTTAAAACCCAGTTTGGAAGACATCTCTGTGATATTTTTCTTTTCTCCTTCTCACCCTCTTCTCTTCTCCCATAGGATTTAATCAGTGATTTACTGTTCTGATCGAACCTGATAGTACAATTAGTTGTTTGTGTCTACTCCTGTACCACCTAGTGAGTTCCTCGATGGCCATTTTTTAGTTTTTTTAAATAAAACGATGTACAGAGTGCTTAAGAGCATAGATTCTGAAAATCCTTTTGGGACCCCATATTCCCTTTCAACTCTCTTTTATCTGTTCTTTTCTTTACTGGAAAACTCCTTGAAAATGCTGCCAATTTCTTTTACTTTTTCTCGTGAGTTCCAATCAGATTTTACTTCTATCACTCCATCAAACCACTCTTTCAGGGGCACTAATGACCCATGTTTCTAAATCCCATTGTCAGTTCTCAACCATCTTACTTGGTCTGTCATCAGTATTTTACACAATTTACCACTCAAGTGAAGATCTTTTTTCTCTCGTATTGTAAGCAAAGTCCTTCATAAGACACATTTTCCCCTTTCTCTCTTTTTTTTTTTTTTTTGGTTTATTTTGCTGATTCCTCTTCTTCTTTCAGAGCTCTAATTGTTGGAGTGCCTTTATTTATTTTTTTTTTAATCTATACTTACTACCTAGGTGATCTTATGTCTCATGGCTTTAAATACCATCTATATGCTGATGAATCCCAAACTATAGTCCAGTTAATAACAATCATATTCTTCGCATTGCTCGGGCTAGAAATCTTGGAGGCAGCGTTGACGTCTCTCTTTCTCACACTGCCTAGATACAGTCCTTCAACAATTTTGTACTCTGTACCATTAAAATATATGTAAAATTCTCTTGCTTCTCACCATACTCAAGGTCACCACCCAGGTCCAAACTCTCCTCTAGATTATTGTAATAACTTTCTAATTGGTCTTACTGCTTCTATTTTCACCACCTGTAGTAGGTAAGATGTACATTATCTATTATATGATATCTGTTACATGTAAGATAAGTATGTGTAGGATCTGAGAATTACACAGAAACTTAGATATAATTTCTGTTTCCTGGAACCTATATCTATTCAAACAGCTATTATTTAAAAGCAGTGATGTTATAACAAATGAATGGAAGAAGGATACAGGCTATAGAAATTCAAAATTAGAAAGGATTATTGCTAGTCATGTTACCAAAAAGAATACATAATTTGAGCTTGTTCATATAGGGGGACTCTAGTTTAACTGAGCTGAAGAAGAGAGTGGAGAACCTTATAATCCATTAGGAAGTGATTGAGCAAATGCACCAAGACATAACAGTGGAGAATAGTCTGAAACAATGAGCAGGAAAACTGAATTCTGGATTATAATGGGAAAATGTGGGAATAGCCAGAAAATAGTGGTCCCTGATCACTTAACTAAGGAGTTTCAAATTTATCCCAAGAAATGGCAAAGGTATTGAAAGTTTTTTGAGCAGGGAAGTAGTAAATAAAAATGTTCCTCTAAGAAAATATGACAGTGCAGGCAGAAATGAAGAGGACAGACTTCAGGCTTAAATAGTAAGTAGCTACAATAATTAGGACTCGAGATAATCATAAGTAGAATTGAGGTGGCCATCTAGAAATGGAGCAGAAAGAATATATTTGAGATACATTTCAAAGGAAGAATTGATAGATCTTCATGTCTAATTAATCAGAGGGATTAATATTTATACTGCCAAGAGTAGTAAGTGAGGCTTTATTCATTGTTTTTGATAACTTGGAAGTGGTGAATTTTTTATTCCCTTGATTTTTATATTCTACCTCAGTTGCAACCAAAGTTGTGCGATGTGATATTCTCATATTTCATTATTTAAATTTAAAACCATCTCATATTTTGTTTAAACTGTGGTGAAAATCTGCAGGGCACAAATGAGATCAAGTCAGACCCAACTCAGCATATGGTGCTTTAATGGCTGGCACTGAAGGAGTTCTCTTTGCATAGCTGTTGAATTATCGCCACCATTAGCAGGTGTTGCAGTGAAATATGCACTATAATGTTGCCAGTAAAATTAAATGTGTTTTGTAGCATAGTGGAAACTTTTGAAAGACCTATAGTTCTCTTTAAAAATGAAGCTTTTTAATATTGTAAGTTTACAAGTTCTTTCTTATAGTATTCAAATATTGTTTTCCACTGCTGTATGTTGAAGGAATTCTCAGAAGCAGATCTTAAACACTTTATAATATGTAATTTAAAAATGTTTACAAAAATATTACTACATCTTTGTCAAATCTGAAGCTTGTGCCATATACACAAAGTATTTAAAAATATTTCATGATTGAATTTAAAATCATCTATAAATTGGAAAAACTAAAAAGTGATTCACTTTTATTTTGCAGTGATCGGCACGTGGGTAAAATGTATTCAAAATCCTCTTCCTTTCTGGACTATGTCAGAAAGTCTCTAAAGAAGCTTGGATTAGATGAGTCCAAGGTCAGTATATGATTGTTGTTTTCATAAAAAAACAAAACAAAACAGGAGAACTTCTATGGGGTAATGAGTTGAGAGGATACAAAATAATTTACCTTCTACTTTTCTTCCATTTGTGAAAAACATCTAATTATATTGAGACCATACCTCCATTACCTTTATTCCAAGTTCATCTTTCCTGTCAGTGTGGATGGTTTGCTGTCCTACATCTCTAGAGAGACTCCCCCTTAGGTTTATTCAGGTACCAGGTACCAGTTCTCAAATCAAAACAGTTAAAAAACAAGATAACAGAACAAATGGGAATTATAAGTAAAGCAAGAGCAATAAGACAATAAACTGCATTTATTTAAAGACTGTATAACTAATTAAAATCAAAAATCTTAAAATTCAAAAGCCTTTATGAAAGGGAGAATGCTGAGAAGTGGTGACATCATAGAGGAGGCTCAAGCTAATAATTGAGAACCTAATGTTGAAGATAAAATGGTAAGCTAGTTGGCTAGTAGTAATAAATATTCTAACCCTGAGGAAAAAAATAAACTTTCAATTCAGAGTTATTGACTAAAGTATTAAGTTGAACTTGGACCACTCTGGTATTTTGGGTTTTTGTGTTTGTTGGTTTGGGTTTTTTGTTTGTTTAGGGGGGAGGGGCAGAGAGAGGGAGAGAGAATCTTAAGCAGGTCATGCCCAGAGTGGAGCCAGACGCAGGGCTCCTTCTCACAATCCTGAGATCATGACCTGAACCAAAATCAAGAGTTGGACACTTGATGAGCCACCCAAATGCCCCACTCTGGTATTTTGAATTGGTTATAAATTGAAATAAAGAATAAAATAGATGGTTAAAGGAATGAGATGGATTTCTTGAAAAAGTAGTACAGGTGTGATTACATTATATCAAAGCTAAAGGGTATTATTTATTGTACCATTTGTCACTTACTCCCCAGTTGTTTTATTATTTAAAACAATTAGACTGTTTTTAATCAGATTCCTCCTCTATGAAATGGCTATTCAAAAGCATTTCTGACTCATATGATTTGTAAAATACCAAGCACAATGTTTTTACATAGTAAATGCAATCAAAATAGTATGAGTTAAATTTTGTATATAGTTTTTATTATATATTATAGATATGTATTAGGATACTATTATATTAATGTTATTGTAATTAATATTATTATACTTTATGTATAGTTTTTATTATTCTGATCTTTGTATATGTTCTATGTAATAACAATTGATATGACTCTTGTCAATATTTTTATTTAGTCACCAAATGAAGATCCTTCTAGTCTTACATAAATGAATGAGAATAGACAACTTTTATCCTAGTTATTTTATTTCTGGGTTTTTTAAAAAATGTTTTTAATAAATCAGACTGGTTTTCCTTCCAATCAGTCTTATTTAGTGTACATCTTAATTCCGTATCTCAATTTTATATCTTGCAGTAATGTCAAGAACACAAACCTCAGCATTACTTTCACAGATGAAGAACTAAGTTTTTACTTAAACTAAAAATATATTATCCTTTGGCAAAAACTAAACAGCAAAAAATCCAGAAAAAATGTTACTTATCCTTCCTGATAGCTTTCTCTTCCCAAGTTTGTCTTTAATAGTAACCGTAGTAAATGTTCCTTAATATGCTTATTATATGACTGATAAGAGAAAGAGAGAGCAGGGTGTGGGCAGGGAGGGTCAGAGAGAATCTGGAGTAGACTCCCCACTGAGTATGGAATCTGATGTGGGGCTCAATCACCCCATGCAGGGCGACCCTGAGATGAAACCAAGAGTCAGATGCTTAACCAACTGAGCCACCCAGGCACCTCTGACAGAAATATTAATAATAGCTAATAGTTACTAAGCACTTGCTGTGTGGTAGTTATTGTGCAAGAACATCACAACATTATCTCATTTACTCTTCACGGAAACACTTATGGTAGATTCTATCATTATTCCCAATGTAATGATCTAGAAAGAGAGGTGTAGAAAAAGGCAAGTCATTTTCCCAGGGTCAAAGGGCTAGCAAGTAGTAGAGGTGGAACTTGAGCACAGATTCAGCTAACATCAAAACCTCAACTGTTTTTTTTTTAATTTTTTTTTTTTTAAGATTTTATGTATTTATTTGACAGAGAGAGACACAGTGAGAGCAGAAACACAAGCAGGGGGAGTGGGAGAAGGAGAAGCAGGCTTCCCGCTGAGCAGGGAGCCTGATGCAGGGCTCGATCCCAGGACCCTGGGATCATGACCTGAGCCGAAGGCAGACGCTTAACGACTAAGCCACCCAGGCGCCCCAAAACCTCAACTGTTAACCACCACTATACTGAGAAGTGAAATGAAAAACAGAAAAAAAAAAAAAGACTAATGTAGATAAGTATCACCATGTAAAATCAGTCTTAAATTATTCTTTGTATTAGTTAATAAAGGCAGTAATAGTGCCCTACTGATTTTCTCATAACACTCTTTAAGCTCATTAAGAATAAATATGTCAGACAAAATGGGTTAGAAGACAAAAAGGAACAAGAAACCCAAGCTGGAAGACTTTGGGGGAAGAAGATACAGAACAACATAATAGCAACGTAACCAATATTTAAAAGGATATACTGGTGAAAGGAAGGAAACAGATGAATACATGTTTTGTGGGTGGGGGATTTATTTGAATTTTAAGCAAGAGGAATTGAGAAAGTTTTATCTGTCAGGTCAGAGTTGTTAGAAACCTAAACCAAAGTTATGTTTTCAATCCAATACAGATTCCTAATATTTTTCTCCCACATTGTGAAGTATCCATGCTCAAATTAAAGTTTGACAAGCTCAGTAAAAAGAGATTTGTGTATGGTTCTAAATGAAATTAATTTTCACATGCAAGCACTAAAAAGTAGGCACTGAAAAATACCAAACCATTTAAGTTTAAAATGTTAAATATACCACAATACTTGAAAGATCCTGGACTAAATTTATAATCATTTATTGATATATAGTGGAAAGTATGGTGAATGCTTTGATGTGTTTCTAATCTTTTAAAGCAGATCTCTTAGTATTCAAAACTATGTAGTAATAAAGTGTCTAGAAAATCTCTTAATGTGCTCTGGATATATTTTTAGTTACAAGAAATCATGTTAAACGTATGGAAGTAAACAGAAAACATTCCCAAACAAATTATAATTCCAAAGGAGACCAGAGCTCCGTGTACTAGATATATAAGTGGCTTATGCGCAGCTTACAGGCTTAGTCCGTAATTCCTATCGTCAGTTGTGAAAGACAGCATTGGACATTTTCTCTTAGAGCAGGATTTGGCAGCAGTATTGACATTTGGATAAGTCTTTGTTGTGGGAGGCTGTCCTGTGCATTGAAGGATGTCTAGCAGCATCCCTGATCTCTACCCACTAAATGTCAGCAGGAGCACCCCACTGGTAGAAAAAAAATTATTAATTAAAAGAGAGAGTCTCCAGACATTGCCAAAAATTCCCTGGGGGGCAAAATCCCTACTCCCCACCCCCAGTTGAGGTCCACTGTCTTCAAGCATTTGTCATCTCAGTGATGCAGTTTGCAGTCATCTAATATTTCCATTATAAACCCCATATGTTTTTTTAAATGCCACTTTACATGTTAACACCAAGAAACATGGAGAGAGGAAGTGGGGAAGAAGCAATGATTCTGTTCTTATATTTTGAAGACTTTTTATTCAAAACAGTCCCCTGCTGGATCTTTCATTTTTGTATAGCTCTAACCACTTATAGGCAATATTGTTTCAGCCCAATATAAAATATAGGTCTATTTAAGGAGAGTGTTTAGATTCTGTAGTAAAGTTAAGCCTAACTCTCTAACCACTGAAAATAATAAATTGTGGCAGAACAGCAACTATCTTGTATCAGCAGGTATACTGTTTATAATGAATCAATTTCTTAGAATGAAACAGTTGAGTAAAATTCTTGTAATATTCAGTTACTTCTTTGTAAAACATTTTCATAAGACTTGAAAAGTGTCTAAAATATTAACATCCTAATGATTAGCTTTACCTAAATGTAAAAAGAGAGATTAGGTATTTTCAAACTTTATCTTCTGTCCCAAACTTGGGTATCTCACCAATTTCAGAAAACCTCAGTTTTCATAATTTCTTCATGGTCCATAGCATTTTGCCTTCTTTTGTCAATTGGTAATTACTTTTCTGCTTTTCTGTCTCTTTCCCCTGGCTTATACTGCATGTATACAAACACACAATTGCAAACACGCACATATCTCCTTTGGATTTTAAAAGCATCAGAATTGATATTATTTGCTAGACAAAGAATGAGCTGGATTATTTGTTTATAAGAAGAGAGAAAGAAAAGCTTATTTTCTAGAACTTGTGTGTTATATAATGAATACTGAAATAATTGAAATTAATTTCACATAAAGTAAAATAAAGACAATAAAACTGATGATTTGATGAGGATGCTGTAGTGTTGAATGGGTAGAGTTGAAAACTACTAACCTAAAACCTTAATGGAAGTAAGTAAAAGATAATTTATTTTTTTAATGGATAAGTTATTTAATTAGGTTCTTTGTGAGAAATTTAGAACACCAATTTGTGAGGATAAACTCCATTTGTGAGAGAAAACACAGTGTGTAGATAGATAGCCCTGAAGCTGAGGAACAGCTTTGATTTTTGGCAGAATTTGCAAGTCCACAGCTTTCTGATCAGCCTTGCACTGCTGTGTGATCTCATATTTCTCCTTCTCTATGTTGAAGATCTCACCTTTCTGATATGGGTTTACACAGCTTCTTCTTGAAGTAAGTATCAATGAGGTGTTTTGGGATTTTCACACTGTTGAGATCAATTTTGGTGGAGGTGGCAATGACAAATTTCTGGTGTGTTCTACACAGAGAAACTCAACACAGAGAAACTCAACTGAGGGCCAGAGGCCCAGTCACAAGTAGCAAGCCACTGCTCAGTTGCTTCAGGGAAACCACCCTCTTGCCTCTGTGGTACCCAGTGAGGATGATCAAAATGGTCCCAGGAGTGATACTTGCTCACAGTTTTCTCACATGCTGCCTGAAAGGTTTTTTACTGTGCCTCAGCACACAGTGCATCTTTCAAGGTGCATCTTCAGTTGGATAATATCTAGGCATTTTATGAAGTTTAACCACTTGGGTACCACCGTTCTTGTCACCACCAACTGGTTTAGTGACAGTAGCAAGAACCTTCTCTTTTTCTTCTCAGCCCAGAGTTTAGCTGCTGAATACTTCCTTTTGTATATGGTCTTTCTGGAATACATAACCGATCAGGAATATCTGCCAATTCCTCTGACTAGGACAGGATTTCTCCTTCTTTGGTGTTATAGCCTTGAGGTTACCCTTCTTAACCTTGCCACCAGGATCAGCTTTGGTTTCAGGTTTCTTCTCAGCCTTTTTACCCACCATCTTGCAAGATAGGTAAGAGTAGTAAAGGAGAAATGAAGGGGAGGAAATCGGAGGGGGCACGAACCATGAGAGACTGTGGACTCCAAGAAACAAACTGAGGGTTTTAGAGGGGAGGGGTGGGGGGGGATAGGTTAGCCTGGTGATGGGTTTTAAGGAGGGCATGTACTGTATGGAGCACTGGGTGTTATACGAAAATAGTGAGTCATGGATCACTACATCAGACACTAATGATGTATTGTGTGGTGACTAACATAACATAATAAAATTAAATTTAAAAAAAGAGCAGTAAAGGATAATTTAGAAAAATATTCTTAGATACGTTTCCAAAATGGAACAGCAAAAGGAAAACTTTTGAGACCAAAATGATTTAGTTATTCATCAACAAACACTTACACTGAAAAATCTCCCATGTGTTAAGAACAGTATAAACTCTGGGGCTACAAAGATAATTAAGATATAACCCGTTTAGAAAGAAAACAAGTAATTATAATATAGCATGAACCTACAACAATAGACACATATATAAAATAGGATGGAAGCATAGAGAAAGGAGCAACTCACTTTGCCTGTGAAGATTTCACAAAGGATATGCCTTAGTTTGGTCTTGAAGGAATGTGTAGGAGTTCATCAAGCAGACAAGGTGGGCAAGTAGGGAGCAAAGAATTAATTGCAGGTGCTGGGGTGGGGTTGCTTGTGCAAAAACACACAGATATGAGAAACATGATTCTGAACTAAACACTGCTGGAGTACAAAGCCAGCAGGAAAAGCAGCAGTGAGAGATGAGGCTAAAGGAGTGAGCACATGTGGAGAGGCCAAGTAAACTGATCTTTGGATGTTAAATCAGAGATTTATCAGAGCTAAGAATAATCACCAGGTGGTTTAAATACAGGTGAGAGGGCAGGAATTATTCCACGGGAAAGCCAACAAGGGTAGAGAGCTCATGACCTCTTCCATGTGGTAATATATCCATAAGTGATATAGATTGAATTCCTTTAACATTTGCATTATACCCATAAGTAAATTCTGGCTGCTTTTTGCAACCACCATGGTAATAATTGATTCACAGGAGAATCATCAAGGGATTAAAACCATTGGGTAAAACATTTGTGGGGGAACAGGGTATTTACACAGACTCACAGTACCTCCCACAGATTGTTAATTCATTTCAAAAAGTAGATCAGCCTTCAAAGTTAGCATCACCAATAATGAACAAACTGACATCATCTGCCTCATAATGCAATGCTTTGAAGAAGATATAGCATCACGTATGTAATATTCCTGCCCAAAATGCGTAACTTGAATCTACTCATGAGAAAACATCCAGGTAACTGGCCTTTTCAAAATGTGTCAGTGTCAGATAATGAAGGGAACCATCAAACATCAAGGAAAAGGCAACCTGCAAGTGGGAGAAGATACTCACAAATGATGTATCTGATAAGGGGTTAACATCCAAAATATATAAAGAACTCATAAACTCAATATCAAAAAAACCCAAGCTGATTAAAAAATGGGCAGGGGACCTGAATAGATTTTTTTTTAGAGAAAACATACAGATGGTCAGCAGACATGAAATGATGCTCAACATCACTAACCATCAGGGAAATGCAAATTAAAACCACAACGAGATATCACCTCATACCTGTTAGAGTGGCTGTTATCAAAAAGACAAGAAATAAAGAGTGTTGGCTAGGACGTGGAGAAAGGGAAGCCTTGTGCACTGTTGGTAGGAATGCAAACTGCTGCAGTTACTATGGAAAACAATATGAGGTCCCTCAAAAAGTTAAAAATATGGGTGCCTGGGTGGCTAGGTTGGTGACTCTTGGTTTTGACTCAGGTCATGATCTCATGGGTTGTGAGATCAAGCCCCAAGTTGGGCTCTGTGCTCAGTGGGGAGTCTGGTTGAAGATTCTCTCCTTCTGCCCCTCCCCCCACTCACACACAAGCACTCTCTCTAAAATAAATAAGTCTTTAAAAAAATTAAAAATAGAACTACCATACAATCCAGCAATTCCACTTCTAGGTATTTATCTGGGAAAAAAAGGAAAATGAAAACACTAATTCAAAAAGACCTATGCACCCCTGTGTTCATCATAGCATTATTTATAGTAGCCAAGATGTAGAAGCACCTAAATGTTCATAAATAGATGAATGGATAAAGAAGATATGGTATATATACACAATGGGATATTACTCAACCATTAAAGAGCATGAAATCTTGCCATTTGCAACATGCATGGACCTAGAGGGTATTATGAATTTAAGTGAAATAAGTGAAATAACTTTTAAGTGAAATAAGTCGGAGAAAGATAAACACCATATGATTTCACTTATATGTGGAATCTAAAAAAAAAAATGAGCAAACAAAACAGAAACAAGACTCATAGATACAGAGAACAAATTGGTGGTTGCCAGAGGGAAAGGGAGCGGGAGGATGCAGAGAATAGTTGAAGGGAATTAGGTGGTACAATTTTTCAGTTATAAAATATATAAACACAGGGATGTAATGTATAGCATAGGGAATATGGTCAAAAATATAACAACTTCTTATGGTGACAGATGGTAACTAGACTTACTGTGGTGACCATTTTGTAATGTGTATAAATGTTAAATTACTGTGTTGTATACCTGAAACTAATAGCATATTGTATGTCAGTTCTTCAATTTAAAAAAATATATCAATTTCATGAAAGACAAAGAAGAGTTGAACTGTTCCAGATTAAATGTGATTAGAGATACTAATGCCCCATTCCAGATTGGATGCTTAAAGAAGGTGGGGGGGGGGCACCTGGGTTGCTTATTTGGTTAAGCATCTCCCTTTGGCTCAGGTCATGATCCGAGGGTCCTGGGACCGAGTCCTGCATCAGGCTCCCTGCTCTTTGGGGAGCCTGCTTCTCTCTCTGCCCCTCCCCCACCACACTTGTTCTCGCTCTCTCTCAAAAATAAAAATATTCTTAAAAATTAAATGTCTTTTTAAAAAGGGTGGGGAGCTATAAAAGGCATTGTTAGGACAAATGGTGAAATTTCGATATAGACTATATAATAGATAACAATATTTGATCAATGTTAAATTACTAAACTTGATTATTGCAGTTATGTAAGAGCATATCTTATTCCTAGGATCTACTTGCTGAAGGATTTAGGGATGAGTTATGTAAGAGCATATCTTGTTCCTAGGATCTACTTGCTGAAGCATTTAGGGATGAAGAGTCATGACATTTGTAATTACTTCCAAATGGATCAGCAATAATAATAATAAAGATGGATGGATGGTTAAAATGAATGTAGCAATATAGTAGTGATAGGTGAATCTAAGTAGTGCATATATAAATGTTCATTGCACTTTTTGAAGCTTTAATTTTTTTTAAAAAAATTTGGAAACCTGAAACCACCAAACCCAAAGGAAGTGAACCTTACACAAAGTAAAAGCAACAAAAGTTTTTGGAGAATTAAAAATACAGCCTGCATTAATATTGAGAAGGGTGGGAGCCAAATAGAGAAGGTAAACCTCTTCTGGTAAAGGACAGAAATTGTTTCAGGTCTTTTTAGAGGCCTTTACTAGACGTTCTCCTCAGAGATACTGTGGCCCAGCCTAAGCCTGCCTATCAGTCTGATACAATAAGTGTACCTTTGTGCTGCCATTAACCTTGACACCCCTGCTGACTGTGATTCACCTGCCAAAGCTGCTGGCTACCAACTGTGAAAAGCCACATTTAGAGAGATTCCCTATCTACTAATCAAACATCCTTTTGCCTTATATAAAATATTAATCATTGTCCACATTTTGTAATTATAATTCTACATTTTAGGAAAATAGTACAGCAAGCATGTAGAACATCAGTAGAGTTTATATTCAAACCATTTTTTCTTTTTCTTTTAAACATTTTATTTATGGGGTGCCTGGGTGTCTCAGTCGTTGAGCGTCTGCCTTCGGCTTAGGTCATGATCCCAGGATCCTGGGATTGAGCCCCAAGTCGGGCTCTCTGCTCAGTGGGGAGCCTGCTTCTCCCTCTCCCACTCCCCCTGCTTGTGTTCCCTCTGTCGCTGTCTCTCTCTCTCTGTCAAACAAATAAATAAAATCTTTAAAAAAATAAAGATTTTATTTATTTGAGAAAGAGTGAGGGTGAGCACAAGCAGGGGGAGTGGGGCAGAGGGAGAGGTGAGAAGCAGACTCCCTGCTGAGCAGGGAGCCTGATGCAGGGCTCAATCCCAGGACCCTGGGATCGTGACCTAAGCTGAAGACAGAAGCCTAACCCACTGAGCCACCTAGGTGCTCCTCAGACCATCTTTTCTAATGCTTCTTTATAAAAAGGTGCTCCACATTAGAATTCATACCTTAATGAACTTGATTTTTTTCCTATTGGAAAATGGCAGTGTAGGATCCCATTTTAATAATGCTTTTTTTAAGTGTCATAGCAGACCATCTCTTTACTATTGGTTTATAGATTGTAATAGTCAAAAACACCATGGATGTAAAACTTCTTGTATAATGATTTTGTGTGCCAAGTTCTTCCAGTTCAGGAAGGAAGGAAGGAAGCAAGAAAGAAAAAAGTTTAGAATAAAATTAATTGGAAGGGTATCCTGAACTTTCAGTGAACCTGGGGAGGAAAAAAAAAATCACAGGACAGTGATTTGGAGATCACTTTTCTGGGAACTATGTAGTAAATTATTCCCCTTTCCAGAAACTCAGTAGTTCTGATCTCCCCTACCAGGATCTGAGAGCTCTGAAGAGTTTATTTTATTGCAATAATGTCATTTGTATATTTTGTATCTAGCAGAACAGGTTGATGTATGTGACAAGACTCTATGATTTTAACTGAGTACTTTGTTCAAGTGCTTGAGCAGCTCAAATACTTCTTCTTTAGGAAACTTTTGGTCCTACGTATAGGCACATGTGCAGTTCCTTTTATGCAGTCAAGTAAGTACTAAAGAGTTACGGGAGCTTTAAAGAGAGTCCTGTTTGGAAATCAGAAAGTGCATGAGCTTTTTCCAAGTGCAAATCCAGACATGTTATGGGACCTCAGAAGTCTAACCAGGGCAGCAGTCGGATTTGTCCAGAACACTGCTCAAATCCTTGCCTTTGCTTCTGGTACCCTGATTTCATCACTGTCTTCCAACACAGCTTCATCTTCAGGCTTTAAATTTCTAGTTTTCCTCTTTGTTCAGTATTGTGTGCTTTTTTTCCCCCTCTCATGAGCTAGAGATCCAGTATGTTTTTAGATTCTCAGCAGAGTTCTGATTCTTAATGATAAAACCCTAATCCTTACCTATTATGCCTTCTAATTTATCTCAGTTAAGCCTCATTACTTCAGAATGTGGCCTTGAATCCCCCAACAGCTGCAGTTGAATTACCTACAGTGTTTCAGGAATGTCCCATGATTTCTTGGTCTTACCTCAGTAACAGTAAAGAACTCTGTACTAAACCCCACTCCCTACTTTTAATGCACATACTAGCCATCCACATTCTAGATACCCAAGCCCTATCTATCTTTTTTCTTTAATTTTTTTATTTGAGTAAAGTTGACACACAATGTTCTATTACTCTCAGGTATACAGTGTAGCGATTCCATTTCTTTATACAGTTATGCTGTGCTCGCAAGTGTAGCTACCATCTGTCACTGTACAACACTATTACAATACCATTGATTACATCCTGTATGCTGTTCCTTTTATTCCAGTGACTTCTTCATGCCATAACTGGAAACCTCTATCTCCCACTCCCCTTTACCCATTTTGCCCATCCCCCCTCCAGTCTAGAAACCATCAGTTTGTTCTCTGTATTTTGTAGGTCTGATTCTGCTTTTTGTTTGTTGTATTTTTTTAGATTCCACATATGAGTAAAATCACATGGTATTTTTCTTAGTCTGACTTATTTCACTTAGTATGATACCCTCTGGATCTATCTATGTTGTCATAAATCTCTGTGTCAAATCACATCATTAAAGAACTATATTCCACTATTTACAACCCTATGCCTATAGTAATTCATCCCTGTAGGGATGCATTATCAGAGTTATGATTAAATTGTTTGCTTTCATTATGGTTTTAAGAAGGAAGATATGTGGGGCGCCTGGGTGGCTCAGTTGGTTAAGCGACTGCCTTCGGCTCAGGTCATGATCCTGGAGTCCCGGGATCGAGTCCCACGTCGGGCTCCCTGCTCAGCAGGGAGTCTGCCTCTCTCTCTGACCCTCCCCCCTCTCATGCTCTCTATCTCATTCTCTCTCTCAAATAAATAAATAAAATCTTTTAAAAAAAAAAGAAGGAAGATATGTGGTCATTTGATTGCAAGAAATAAAGATATACTCAGGTTTTCTAATTAATTTGTGGGAGGCTAGTCCAGGAATACATATACTTATAAGAAAGACTGAGATCTCTTGGCTTCACAAAAACCAAGAAAGTGATGTACAGTCTAGTCTCCTCAGAATGTATTTTGTTAATGAGAGCTCTGAACCAGCAGCTATTTCACTCTTTGTTCTAGATAATTTTTCTCTCCAGATTCTTGCTTATCGATGAGTTGTTTATTCATGACTCTGCTTCCCATCTGCAGCAAACTTTGTATATCGCTTTTATCACTTCCCCTCTCTGCACAGCACCGCCCCGCCGACCCAGAAAAAGAGGATCTAATTGATTCATTTGATCGCTTTCACAGCTATTTGGATAGAATTTTTGTAAACAGATACCCTAAATCAAATAAGGTGAGAGAGGTAGAAAAGGGGAAACTACCTGCAGGAAGATTTTTACATAAGTTGCAGCCTAGGGTTCTTTCCCCAAGCAGTGATTGGGCAGAAACACAATAAAATAGGGCTTAAGTTTTAGAGGCATTCAGAGTCTTAATGTATTTGGTATGAGGATATTTTTGGGCATTCAGTAAAGACAATATTTCAAAGCTTTTTCATATCTAGGTTCTGTTATATAACTACGTAATAATTCAATTTTTCATGATAGGACAGTCTCCTCCAAAGAACACTCAACTTACTTGTTTTTTTGCCTTAGCTATCAGGAGCCTCGAATGTACATTTATGCTTGATTCCAGCAGCTGTTCTTAGCTAGGGGACTAGGTATCATGTTTTTCTCCTTTGAATTGTACACCCTTGAGAGTTTATCCTTTCTTTAATGGCCCTACTATTGATATGTTTTTATTCATCATATTATAAACCACCTCAAATTATCCTTGAAAATGAGCATACTGTTAATAATAAAGTGTCCTGTAACTTATGATGCATAGATTTGTAGCAATTACATTTGGGAAAAGAAGAAAACAAGAGTTAACAAGTATACTTTTAAATTGAGATCAAAAGCAATATTATATGTAAAAACCACACCTAATAACATTGTCAATATTATATGTAAAAACCACACGTAATAACATTTTAATGAAAAGTACACAAGAACCAGTGAACCAAAGCTGGACACTGTAGACTGATACACTGTTGTTAGCTGAAGTCCATATTTTATTCAGAATTCCTTAGTTTTTACATAATGTCTTTTTAGTTCCACAATTCTATCCAGGATATCACACTGCATTTAGTCCTATTGGTTGTGACGGTTTCTCAGACTTACCTTATTTTTGATGACCTTGAGAGTTTTGAGGAGTACTGGTCAGACATTTTGTAGAATATTCCTTCACTTGGATTTGCAGATGTTTTCCTCATAATTGGACTGGGGCTAAGGGTTTTTGAGAGGAAGACCACAGAAATAGAGTGCCATGTTCCTGACATATCAAGGGTATCTATTTTTTTCCCAAAGATTTTATTTATTTATTTGTCAGAGAGAGAGATGACAAGTAGGGGGCTCCGGCAGTCAGGGGGAGAAGCGGGCTCCCCGCTAAGCAAGGAGCCTGATGGGGGACTCGATCCCAGGACCCTGGGATCATGACCTGAGCCGAAGGCAGACACTTAACCAACTGAGCCACCCAGGCATCCCTCAAGGGTATCTATTAATATAACTTATCATCATTGATGTTGACAGTGATTACCTGGCTGAGATAGTATGGACTTTAGCTAACAACAGTCTATCAGTCTACAGTGTCCAGCTTTGGTCGCTTAAACAACAGACTTCCATTATTCTTTAGAATCACACTAAACTAACAAATAGAAACCAAAACACAAACTCCTTCTTTGACAAAATCAGAAAGCATGTTGAATCTCAAATCATGTATTATGAAGCACAATGAAGGTAAAGAGGAATGCAGAAAGATACCAAGAGAAAATTTCCAGGGTTACATATCCCTGGCAAAACCAACAGAATACAGTTCTCTAAACTGGAATATGCTGAGGAGCCAAATCAACCATTCCTAGTTTGGAACAAATGCATTGGTGACCAGGGTAGTGCTTCCCAATTTGACATAAAAAAGAAACAAAGACTATTGGAGAACCCATGGATTCACATTGAAAAACAATGTTTACGGGAAGCAATGTGCTGGTGGAGCAGGATTAAAAAAAGATTATGAGTTCTGAGTTGTCCTGTAACTGCTGATCTCAGGTGGCAGGAGAGAAGTAAAGACTAAATAAAGGCTATAATTCAAACACACACACAATTTTGTAAGATGCGAATTTTTGCTGGCTTGAAGTTCAGGCCTGGATCCAGTCTAATATACGTTACTGCAAAAATTTGGTTCAGGAGGTACTCATTTGATTGAAAGATGGGCAAAATTTTAAAGAGGGTTGGGGAAGGAGGTGTAATCTGCTTGGATTCTATACCAAGGGAGGAATCTTTTCTGGAAGCCTGCACTAGAAATGAATGAGACAAAAACCTCACTTTTCACTGATACCTTTTTGTACTTTCTAAGTTCAAAAGAAATTTAGTGCAGTAAGAAAA